AAAAAAAAAACTGTAAAGAGGACAAGCAAACTTTGGCAGATTGAAATTCAGCTCATCGCCGTTCGCAAGCAAAATGTCAGCTAGTACAAACCAGTTACATTAAACGAATCATTTGTTTCTTGTTTGCCATATAATAAACATCTTATTAACCGAGCTCAGTCGGTCTGTATGGGAGAATCTTGACCTCGGTCAAGATTGTCCCATACAGACCTCCTGCTCCGTTAATAAGAGCTAATTATTTACAAGGCTTGCTCGGGACCGTACTGGGAAAAAAAAATCGGTCCTTAGTCTGTTGTGCGGACGCAGCACTTGGTCCCTCCAGCTGTCAAGACCTTGGGCCGATATTCTCTCAGTGCGACCTTCGCACTTGCATAATGCCAGTGTATTCCCAAAAAAATTAGCAAATTTCAACTGAGTAAAAACTGGAACATGTCATACTCAAAACTGATTGGCTTAAAAATGACACTTGCAGCTGGAGTTCTTTGTTGCCATTCTGTATACGGTGGTTTTGTTTTCATTGCCTAGGTAACCCCAGTCAGTTGCTGAATGACTAATTCTACTGGGCATACTCCCTCTTTGATTAGACCAACTGCTGAAAATTAGCCGTCACTGGAACACAAGGCAGCTTTTCATGGTGGCCTAACATCTTCTCTTTAGCCCTTCACTTCTCTTCTAGCCTGTACCTGTACCTATCTTTTTCGTAACTACATATAAGTTGTACTAAAGTTCCTTAGGATTTGCGTGCCTATTAAATATAAATCGAGCAGTGTCTTGAATACGAAGTGTGATTAGCGGCGGCAACAGATTTTTTTTTTGCCAAAGGCGACGTCGTCGCCATTACGAGCGAATATGATGCACGATCATAATCTCTTGATGAGAAAGTATTACGGAGAAATTGCATTTTTATCTCCAAGTTAGCTTGTATAGCTCAGCTCGTCTCTATCTTAGAAAATTGCCAGACAGACGTTATAGTTCATTTTACCAGCTCGTCTAGTTAGCCATATAATAATAATGAACTACTTCAGAGGTCGAGCCTGCAGTCAAAATGTCTTTGGTTTAAAAAGGCATACAAATTAGACGAAGCAGAATTGACCACCTTACGCGTCGTTAGTATTGTATGCCAACTCATTGACAACTGCAGTAACGGCTATTTTAAGTCACACAAGTTTAATAACTTTCTCAATCATTACTCTTGTATCCCGGCTTACTTTCTTTGTCGCTCGTACGTGTTATGATAGTGGCCAAAATAACAACCCCGTAATTAATTCACGAACCTTAAGATTGCAACTCTGATGAAGGTGGACAGAGGCCACCGAAAATTCGGAACAGAAAACCACAGATCGGATAACCTCAGAGAATAATTAATTCAAATTGCTGTGGGTTTTTTTTGGAAATAAAAGGTTAAACAGCAGGTGCGTTTCTTTATAGGTAAGTTCAATTTGATGGAAATTTGACATTTCAACTCACGTCCTGCCGCACATATACGAATAACACCTTAATTCTACCATGCTGGATCACAAGTAATTTCCTCGAACAATCATGAAGATTCAAATACAATCCCTCCCGGCTTGCTTGACTGACTCTGACTTATTTGCATTCCTACTGAAGACTAAGTTGAAGACGATACGTTCTCTATTGAAACAGTTTGACCACATCAGGCCAAAGTTGTCACATAATGATTTATTCAAGTTTGGCTGTTTGAAAGTTTAGGTGAATGAATGTATGAATGAATGAATGAAATTGAATGTTTTTAAAAGTCAAACATGACTCTCGCGTAATTAAATGCTTCCCCTTGCGAAAAGGTGATTGGAATCGTGGCGTCATATTTGTATAATGAGTCAAATTATTCTCGCGTTTTGATTGGTGTTTACTTAATATGATCTATTGGAGGACAGACGTATAGATGACGTGATTAACATTTTTTGATTGACAAGTAGATTCCATGTTGCCGTGCGTCTGTTCAGTAATAGATCACAGGAGACGTCAAAATGTTGTAGGAATATTAGTGACACACTCGCCTAGCGGTTCATGTGCCACGTTTTTGTTCTTACCATATTTTGAAGTCATCTGTGATCTGCTACTGCCCAGACGCACGGCGACATGGAATCTATTTATTAAAGAGAGCAGTGATGTAAACTATTGGTTCCCCAAAACTGGATGTCTCAACCTCGTTAAAGAGTCTTATTTAACTGTTTTTATCCAGTCTACCAGTTCACACCTACGTCCATGACCAACGATGGACTCTAAACTGTTTTGCTCCCTCATACTGTGTCAAGGATTTGTAAATTGCTTCGTTTTCGCCGTCGAAGAAAACTCCACATCTTCTCGTTCCGCTTATCTCATGACGCAAGAAAACAAGCGACTTGAAAGCCATGTTGTCAAACGATTAGAGTCAGATAGTTTAATGTCGTGCAGCCATCTATGCTTGAGAAACGCCTGGTGTACTTCCACAAATTTTGAGGCTACCTCCAGCGAAAATGGCAGAGGAACTTGTGAATTGAACAAACACGGAGCCATCAACATTGACAGCGAGTTTTACGAACAACAAGGGGTCACTTTTTCAGTGCTTCAGAAGGTAAAATCAACATATGCAGACGCAGTAAGATATTGAGAACATTTTTCGGAATTTTTGGAAATTTTCAAACAAAAGGCACCAGCTACTTAACAGCACCTCAATGATGCTAATGCCTATTTGCAATTGAAAACAGCGCCTTAGTGCTTCTGGTTATTTGCAGATGCAAACAAACCTTAAAACCACTCAGCTATTTCATTGAATAGAGTAAAATGTGTTGTAGTGAATCTGTTTCAATTCATACTAGACCATACAATGCGCTAGCATGCAAAAAAGCTGCGTTTCGATCGATATTTGGTGTTAATGCGTAGACTCAAAACGTTTGCCTCAGGAAAAATGCCTTTGAAACTTAACTTTAATTTCTCCATTTGTAAAAGTATTTTAAAACCAAGTTAAGGGAGAGACGGTAATTCCAAAAGCGCAGTTAAACGGCCTAGATGGGATTCACCGTGTTATGGTTAAAACCCTGAAATTTGAATTTGCTTGAATGTGTCAATTAAGTGTTACATTGTATAGACTGGTTCGAACAAGAAAATGTTTTTAAAAAATGACATGTTGACATTTTCATGACAGAAAAAACGGCACAACACATGAAACTGATGAGGCAGGTGCGAAGTGAGCGTGGAAGTAAAATTTTATTTTCTCTAAAACGAAATTTTTCTTTTTAGCTGTTACATGCCCAAACCTTAAACGCTGTTGTTTTATGAACACAAAATTAAGACATGCCTCAGTGGCCAATTCTCTCTAAAAGACGCGCCTGCAGGGAATCATAGTAGTTGTATTCATCAAAACAAACATCCAAGATGATAAATGCAGTTGCTATGGCAATGCCAAATGACGCAGAGAAACAGCTAACACGTCAAAATCTCGGTAAAGGATGACTGGAATGAACAGTTACTGAAAGTTTGAGCATCATAGAATATAAGCATCGTACATAACGATATTTATATGATATCTTCATATAACTTATGTAAACACTTCTGTAGTGTTAGCCCGAACAGAAACAGTTCGTGTTTAAGGGCTGGTCTGAATTACTGGGTCAGATCTGGAACAGAGTAGGAATTTCGAAAAATGACTTTTTGGTAGGAGCTCAAAGATGCATCACCCTCCAGCATCAAATTTCGGGGAAAAACCCCCTTCGGAACGGAGGCATAATTTAAAGCTTTCTATTCTCACAGATGTCTTTCCTCATTTATTCTTTTCAGGAATGTCTCATGACTGGCTGCTTAAATAGCGGATCCTGTGTGAATGCCGAAAAGAAACAAAAATATTTATGTTTGTGTAAGAAAGCTTGGACTGGAGAAAAATGCGAAACAAAAATCGGTAAGAAATGGTCATACTTACTTTTCAATTGTCCTACTCAAACTTGCTTTACTAAATAATATCAACTTACTTGTTTTCTGAGCAAGATTCTAAAAAAATATGAGATACAGCCCATTGCAATGCCTTTTTTACAGGGACTCCACTGTCATAGCAGGCCTGTCGTGTAAAGTCACATGATGCGTGCGCATGATTGGTTAAGATTACAGTATACGCTATCCTCCGTAGGAAAAAAGATGGCGTCTGTACATTTTACCACAATACCATGCGAACCTTACACAGCCCAAAAGGTTCGAGGAAAGCCAATTTTTTCTAATATTTGTCCCCGTGCTAAAGTTTTTAGAACTTTGCTGTACGTGTTTATGAGCGTTGTTAAAGTTCATGCGCTGAGAATTATGGGTAAATGCGCTAGTCGCCATCGGAGGAGTTTGTGGCCTGACTAGTCTTCTGTTTATTTATTTAGATTATCAACTGAAGACACTTGTATATGTTTTTATAAAGCAACCTGTCTTCCTTCCTAATAACTTGATTATGTTTGCTGCCAAATTCCGTACACGAGATAACTAAACTTGGCTGTCAAACTGGAAAGCCACTTTTCCTTAGTTGATTCATTACCTGCTTGTAAGTCCAAAAAGCCAGATTAAGGAAAAAACCCTACTCAGGCTTCTTTTTTAGTTTTGAAACGCGGACCATGAAGGTTGACTAACAAGACAGGGCCATGCATGCTCGTCAAATATCCCTAACGTCTGTCTATTCAGAGACTGGCTTGATAGAACATAATATTTTCACTGGAATTTTGATTCTTAGGCTTTTAAAAGGGCCGCTATTGCAGTAAATATTGCAATCTAGAGCGCAAATTTCTCCGGCTACACCGTCACCGATATGTATCAAAAATTTTTTTTACCACAATTGCGACTAATCTCGCAATCTGATTGGCTAATTTGCCGTTGTCGATAAGAGTCCACACAACGCTGCTCGCGTCAATGTGTCACGCTCTTGCATTGGTCACCCTCTGAAAAACAAAAATTTCCTTTGACGTTGATATTGTGGTAAAAAACAAATTGAATGTGGTTTAGCGCTGTCTGTACTCTTATCGACAACGATATGCGTAATCACAGTGGTCAAAATTTGTTGTGAACTCACTCGGTTGCGCCTCGTAAGTCCACAACATTTTGACCACTGTGACGACGCATACTCGTTGTCGATAAGAGTGCAGACCGCGCTAAACTACATTCGATTTATTAAATTGCAAATCTCAAAAGCTAAAACATTATTTTATGTCTCCGTCTCGAGCTAAAAATTAACCTCTTTTTGTTTTCAATCGAAGCAAAAGGTTGGTATTCTCATCATCCTGCCGATTCCTGTAAGGACATCCGGGACTCTGGTGATTCTAAAGGAGACGGGGAGTACTGGATCGACCCTGAGAACAATGGAAACCCTTTGAAAGTATATTGCGACATGACAACTGACGGAGGTAAGATGCAGAGGAAACAAGAAAGCAGAAAAAGCTTAACCTTCTTAAAATGTTTGTGTGCGACATAAGGCAAACTTTGCGGCCCAGCAAGGAAATTCTGTTGAAATTTTATTAAACCATGAAATCTCACACTTGCACATCAATGGTTCAAAACTGCATTTTTTTCAATTCTGAGAGATATAAATGACCTAAAAATATATCCAGAGACACCAGGTGTGTTTGAATAATGTTTGTAATCCTAGTCAGTCCAACCTGCTTCTTTTAAGTTTATATAATTGAACAAACTGTTGCTCTGGAAACATAGGTCGCACTTGTCTTTGTAATTATTGATTCTAAGGGTTGATGAAACTCGCCATAGTCAGCATGGGCATCCGCGCTTTTTGTTTTCGTTACCATAGACGAGTTTTCCGAAGTATTTCGTCAATATTCGGAAACTAACTGAGTCATTGCTATTTGTCCGTTATGACTTCGCTATGATAAACCAAAATTTTCCTTGCTTTCAGGAGGTTGGCTTCTTGTTTCCAACATTGTGAAGACTTCACTATCCCTTCAGCTGTCAGTTGAGACGTCATACCGTGCAATCGGCAGTTACCATAACAACAAGACAGTTCTCACGAAAAGTGCCATGAAGGAGCTGTGGACTCACTTGTCTTTCACTCAAATGAGATTTCCCTGCAGTAAGCAACGGGGGCGTACATTCCACGTGACCACGGTCACTAACAGCATTGGTGAAGCTGTAGTCCAGTATTTCAGCGGTCAGACTGACGTCATGCCACACTCGTGTAATTCATTTGTTGCAATGGACGATGACACCTCCAAAGCAGCGAAAGTTTGCAAAAAGTGGGGACTAGAAAATGGCGTAAAAAATGTTGGTAAATGGTCTGGGTCTGGACAAAATGAATCAAGATTATACCGCTGTATTGTTTTTGTTTGGTATGGCTATCATTGGCTGATTTCACCAGAAGGCGGAAGAGTGGAATGCGATGAATTCCACGGTGGAGTATACGCTGGTGATTTCTGGAAAATTTATGTTCGCTAGAGGCTTGATAAATTGACCGTAGACATGTTTTTGTTTGAGCACTCAACACAGTTTTATTTTAAGCTTTTAGAAAGTTTTGTTTGCATTTTCAGCTGCTCGTCTATTAGTATAGCTTGTGTGCACCTACCCACTCTCTCACAGGAGAAGGGGCGGATGTACACAGGCTGTTAGTAGTACAAACAAGAAAACAAAAAGCGTTCCAATTATAAGCACGTTAGTAATTCAGCTTTGTTTTGTAGATGGTTGTTGTAAAATTTTGCCCGCTAGTTCTGACTTTTCTTTGTTTGTTATTAGTCATGACAAAGAAGTTAAGTTAAATGTGATCATTTTGCACACAGAGATTAAATTCAGGGGCGTAGGTGATGGTCAGACCCCTAGGCTAGCCCTTGCAAATCTTTTTGTCCGCCCTCTTGTTTTTTTAAAATGCAGGAAATACAATTTGCTGAAGCATTTTCAAGGTTGTATGTCAAATACAAAAGTTTCAATGAGTGCTTTTTTAGTAACACCACTGCCAGGTGACTGTCTAGTGCAATCAGCGGCTGAAATTTGCCACTTTCTTCTGTTATTAGAGATGTTTTCGAGTCGTAGTAAAATCAAGAGAAAATTGAAGAAGATATTTAAAAGGATCTTCGATTATCTGAAAACTTTCCCAGGAGGATTCATCCCCTGATCCCCATAAATGTGTCTTTTAAAAGTGTTTTGGCTCGGTTTTCAACCCTACCTCCACTGAGAAAGTTCGCTACATCTCTGACAGTGATGAAATGTATTCCGTTCAAACCAAAACATTTTAGGATATTTATCTAAACATCCACGGCTGTGCATATTTCTCAGAACAAAACCTGAAAGGAATCTCTCTAAGAATCCTATTTCATGCCCTCGACGGGGGCTCATTCCATGTACATTCATTTTATACATGTACAGGGGCTAAAACTGAATGTTATTTGAAGCAAGTACTTGGGCAATTTAGAAGAATAACGAAATGGCTCTCATGTTCTCATAAATATCTGGCATAGTTAGTTGTAAGAGAAGAATATCAATCAGCTCTTTCAGTTGCTTGCGCCGGGCAGCGATCGTGTCGTGGCTTGGACTCCTGAAGCTCTCGTATTTAGTTTCCAATCGTTATCAGCTAGGTTATCAAAACGCAACGCGAACAATCTAGAGAACTCCGGAAGTGTTCATGCTATCAAGCGCGACTAGGTGCTTTGCAACTTTGTATTAAACTGGTTAATAATTTTTGGAGTGTGTGCAAGTCAGGAAATAATTTATCTTTTGTAAATAATGCGCTCTACATAATGTATGTTCGTAATGTATCTCTAAAATAAAATAGAAAGGTGGCATTTTATACCATGCCATAGAAGGTGAAAGCGAATACTGCGAACTGAAACTCAACAATTACAACGCTCACCCGACGAGTGATCACTTGAAAGCTTGTCTGATATTCTCTACTGTACTCGGAGTAGAGTCAGTGGGAGCAGTTTAGTCTTTCCAACTTTGACGCTAGTCCGGGCAATCTTGCTGCATGCCGTAAATAACTGTAGTCCCTTTCAAATACAGCTCAGCATTTCGCATTTTCATCCGCAAGCTTGGAGCTCTTTGTTTCGTAATTTCCATTGGAAAAGTGCTTATTTTCCTGGGCCACAATGAGACCGGATTCCTATAGACTAGAAACTTTTAGAACCCTATTTTCAGTAAACCAAACTAAAAACTGAGAAGCAAACTTTGAAGCGATCGTTCTTCTTTCGAAAGTTTGTAATTGACGGCTGTTGTCTCGTTAGCCAATCAAATTATTTGAACTATTCTTACAAGGATTGTGATTGACTTATTTTAGCGCACTTTATCAGAGAACAGATGTACGCGGCTGACGCAAATTTTCCTCGACGGTTTGGAAAAGAAAGTTTGGTTTGAAAATATTAGCTGAAGGTGTTGGGAAATTAATGGATTCTCTATCATAAAAAGCCAAGAAGTAGGGAGAAACACTCGATATATGTCTCGTGTTTCCCCCTATACATTTTTTTCGTGCTCTACCGCTTCCTGCGTGCTTCACAACAGAACAGAGCAGAGTCGAGGTTTCTTTATTTGTTAAGTATACCACTAGAGAGTGGTAACTCTTAACTTAACTTTACTTGACTTAACTTAACTTAATTTGTTAGTAATTTTATTGGGAGTGTCCCCAAATAGTCGGTCTCCGGGCGGACAAGAAGTTTTAGACACGTAAATAAGGTTTATTGATTGATTAATTGATTGATTGATTAATTGATTGCATAACTAGTAACTATGCAGTTTACATGAATCATGTTAGTATCGCAAAGTAATGTTAAGATAAATATGATATTATAAAGATATTACTGAGTAACTTAGATGTTATAAGCAAGTAAGTAAGTAAGTAAGTA